ATGCTAAAGATAGAAAACACTGTAACAGAAGGGAAAAACTCCGTCATGGTCTCGAGATTTCTCCCATTTGTCAACAAGTCTTAGTTAAGTTTAAAATCATGCCAGCTGGATAGAAATTGACTTGTAATGGCAACAAATTCTTGGAGTCTACCATGAACATTTCTGAACACAAGAAAAGTGTATCAGCAATCCCTATGTATTGCATTCTAAGTGCTAAACAGTACTTAGGATGGCCTCTGTCAAATGATTACAGCATTGTTCTTGCATGTTGATTTTTAGAGCTTCATGTACCTGTAAATGACTCAAAACACTTCATTAATCCTTTGAAATACTCTAAGACCACAAAATCAAACATGTGAACATATAACTAGCCAGGGGGCTGCCTTTAGAGGAGTAATATTAAGTCTCATATGTCTTATCCATTAATATTTCACTTCAGCAGAGTCTCTCTTTTCTATTTGTATCTAATGATTCTAAGTGCTGTCATCAATATATCTGACCACTCCCGACTTGTGGCTGTGCAAATCTCAACCAAGTGTTCAAAATTCCATTATGGCTTTCCACTGCTTCCACTGACCGTGGATGCATTAGATGGATAAGGTGATATTGAACCTTTAGGGTTTCACGAATGTCCTTTTTGATTTAGTAGGAATGGTCCCTGGTTATTTTGATAGTATGGATGCCCTAAATCTGAAAATAAAGTCCATTAAAATATTTTGCCAATGATAACTTTGAATTAGGGTATGATAACAATTGTCTTGAAAATGTCCCCCTATTTTACCCTTTAAGGAAGAGATATCTTTTTTACTTTTAGATTTTAAACAATGTTTCCCACTGTGTGAGAAAAATTTAGTTACACTGTAAACATCTTAATGCAGTAAGTGTAAAACTCCTTCCTCTCTACCTGCAGAGACATGGAGGTCCTGGCCAAAACGTACGCATTGGATGAACATTGAGATTATGAAGGAATAAAAGAACATGTGCAAAGCTTTGGTTTTAGCATCTTCTGCTCAGTTTTCCTCTTGTTAGAATTCAGATTCAAATACAGGAAGATTTGGCAGGGAAAATGAAAGCTCTGTGAACCTGGGGTACACCTCAAAACAAATGAACTTTAATCAAGTTTATATTATTTATAGTGTACATATTAATTATAATAAATTATTTAATTAGGGAGGGCCTTTGTTATTTGTATGTGTAATTCTCTGAACCTTCAGATAATGGTTCACTCCGTTACTTAATCTGTGTTAGATGACACGTGGTTTACTATAGTGCCTCACATACACTTTATGACACTTTGAAGTCCATCTGTTCACTTATGTGCTTTGCACTGGACTCTAGAGTTCTGGAACATAAATCATGTCTTGAAGTTCTGTATCTTCTATGCCAGAAACAGAGTAGTCAATCTAATTGAAATGGTTGAAGAAATGATTGCATTGATTAATTAATTGAGAAAAAAGGACTGAACTGATAAACAAGTATCACCTTTGGGATCGTGATAAAAATTACCCTATTCATTTAGAATTTGAACCAGATTCTTCTTAGGTATTAGCTATTTACCTTTTATAATTTAAACTCTTTTCAACTACTAATTAACTCAGAAAAATGTAGCTCCAGGGAATCAATCAGATACATCATTTCCACATCCATACAATATTTTAGAAATACAAGTTAACAGAGAAATGACACCACTAATAATGAACCTCTGTGGATAACCTCTCAATTCAGAGTTGCTATTTTGAGGAAAAACCCAAGAGAATACATCAAAACATGGTATAATGTGGTGAAATATTTGCTGAGTTTTTTCATACCCTATATGAAATGCAAACATCAATTTTGATTCCTTTGTTTCTTTTTCTCTTTAGAAAATAGTACTAATGGATCTGAGAGCATAATAATAATACAATAAAATATTTATAAAATGATGTTGCCCTAATTATTATTTAATAATGTAAAAGATTCATTATTGAAGTATTATCATTAGCTCTTCTTTTCTAGAGCTTTTACTAATGTTTCATGGCATCCCACCACCCTTGTCCTCTTCTTTATCCTTTCTCTTACCCCTTTTCCCATTGCCTGAAGAAGAAATGTGTGAGGGAGGATTATAGGCAGGGCCTCCAAGTTTCAGGGTATCTTTTATTAGGTTTATCATGGCATATAAAAGACAAATAATGGAGCTGCAGAGGAGAAAATAAAAGGTTTTGTTTTAGACATGTGGAGTGTGAAGCAATAGCATTATACCCAAATGGAAATATCTAGTAAACTAAAACTATTATGAATTCAAATCATGAAAGTCGGAACTTGGTGGAAAAAAAGGAAGTCATCTGTTTTGGAGCGATATCTAATGTAATGAGTGAGGATCAGAAGGTGGGTCCCTGAGAAAGTAAGTAAACATTTATGGAGATGAAAGGGGTCAGAAGTCAAAGAAATGTTCTAGAAAAAACAGACAGAGATTCATATAAATTAATTACTATCGCACTAATACAGAATTTTTCTTTGAGGAGTCTGAAGCTTAATGTGGAGCACATATGAAAGCAGACGGGATGATGCAGTCTGATGAGGTATTTAGAATTGAAGTCAGGTGGAGCTGGAAAAGTGGATAAGATGCCTTTTATATTATATGGGAAAAAGGTAATTTAAAAATCCACCTTGATATATAAAATATATGTAGCTATAGAAAAATAAGTGCTTTGTTATGTCTATGATTCTTGATATTTATTAATCTTGCCCTCTCCCTCCCCTCTAAAACAGAAAGTTCTTGAATTTGTGATAACAATGTAGCATAGAGGTTAACACCTTGGATCTTGGTGCCAGATAGTCTGGAATTAAACTTTGACTATATTCCTCACTAATTGTGTGAATTTGGATAACAGTGTTATCTTCTAGGTTCTTGTAGTGATTAAACTGATATAATCCTTATAAAATGTCTAGCATTCACAAGCTTAACACTGTTTACTATTTTACCGCTTATTTAAGCTAGAATAATTATATTTAGCATGATTAAGTGGGACTGTATCAAACTAAAAAGTTTCTTCACAGCAAAGGAAATAATCAAGAAAATGAAAAGGCAGCCGACGAAGTGGGAAAAAGTATTGAGAAACTATGTGTTTGACAAAAGATTAATATTCAAAATATGTAAAGAACTCACAAACTCAGTAGAAAAAGGAAAACAAATAAATAAAACAAAAACAAATAACCTAAACACAAAATGGGCAAAGGAGCTAGATAGACTTTTTTTCCAAAGAAAACATACAAATGGCCAAAAGGTATATGAAAAGATGCTCAACATCATTAATCATCACAGAAGTACAAACCAAAATTATAATGAAATAACACCTCACACCTATCAGGATGGCTCTTATTAAAAAGTCGAAAGATAATACATGCTGGCAAAGATGTAGGAAAAAAAGAGAATCTTTGTATATTGCTTGTAGAAATGAAAAACTGGCACAGCCATTACAGAAAGCAGTATGGATGTTCCTCAAAAAATTAAAAATGGAATTGCCATATTATACAGGAATTCCACTTCTGGGTATATATCCAAAAGAAAACAAATCATTATGTTGAAGCGATGTCTGTACTTTCATGTTCATTTCGGAATTATTAACAATAGCCAAGATATGGAAATAAACTAAGTGGCCATAAAGAGATTAATAGATAAAGAAAATGTGGTACTCATATACATACATTATTATGCCTTAAAAAAAGGAAATTCTGTCATTTGAGGCAACATGGATGAACCTGGAGGACATTAAGCTTAGTGAAATAAGCCAGATATAGAAAGACAAATAATGTATGATCTCACTTATACATGAAATATGTATAAGGGGATTCTCCTGCCTCAGCCTCCTGAGTAGTTGGGATTACAGGTGCGTGCCACTACGTCTAGCTAAGTTTTGTATTTTTAGTACAGACAGAATTTCACCATATTAGTCAGGCTGGTCTCGAACTCCTGACTTCATGATCCGCCTGCCTCGACCTCCCAAAGTTCTGGGATTACAGGCGTGAGCCACCATGCCGTACCTATTTTTCTACTTTCTAAACAGCAAACACAATTTGTCCTACTCTGTAATGTGGGACATCCCTGCCCTGGAGCAGGTGCAACTGGAGTTTGGTGCGACTGAATTTCCAAGACACTAAGAGCGTTGTGAAAGGAGCTATCTGGACAGCATGACCAGCCACGACTGTCTGCAGGAAGAGGACTCAGCGTCCCTGCTTTGTGCTAACTATAGGTATCTGGTTAGGTAGAACAGGGAATTCAAAGTCAGAATATATGAGTGCAACTCGAGGTATGTGCTGTTAACTTCCTCCTGAAAAAATTTGAAGGGCTCTTGCAAGATGGCAATGGCCCCTAGTTATTGAAAGGCACATGTTAGTGCCAGAGCTGGTCCTAGCAGTCCTGCTTAAATGATAAAAGGCTGATGGGAAGATTAAGACTTTTTTTAACGCAAGAGCGATAACCAGGGACAAGATGTGCTGGGAAGGAGAATTAACACTTTGAAACCCACTTTCATAAGCAAGCACACATGTGCGCGCACACACACACAAAGGCACAAGTGCAAAAAAAATTAAGAAGGCATTTGCACAGCTGCAGCCGTGAGTAAATGACCTCTGATATTTGTTGCTCTCATTGAACAATATCCCTATGATTTCAAATTCCTTGGTTTGTGTGCATAAGAAATAAACCAAAATATATAAACATATTACCAACTAGGATATATGAATAACTCAACCTGGTATCCGAGATTAAATTGGAATATTTATTTTTGTAAAAGGGGAAAATTAGCCTATTGCAGGAAACAAGTCCATATTCAGAATATATGCACATTCATCATAACTAAAAGAAATCTAATTGTGACTTTACAATTCCTTAGAAATCTCTGTGAAGCAAATATTCCTGAGCCAGTAGTTTTGAATAATGTTTAACACTCAGAATTATTCATGCAATAAAATTCATGTTAATAACGAATTTTAGTGTTAATTTTGAAAAAATGAGGGTATTTATTCCCTAGTGTTTATTTGCTCTGAGAATGTGCTACTTTGTATTTCAGCTTCAACAGAGCTTTCTTCACCTCCTTGTTCCTCAGGGTGTACACAACAGGGTTGAGAAGGGGCGTCAGCACAGTGTAGAAAACAGCCACAACCCCATCCACAGCTTTCCTGGAGCCTGGTCTCAGGTAAATGAAAAGACCAGGACCAAAGAAGCAAAGGACCACGATGCAGTGGGAGGCACAGGTCTGAAAGGCTCTGCACCTCCCCTCTGAGGTGTGGATCCGCAGGATGGAACAGACAATGGACACATAGGACACCACTATCAGAAGAAAGCAGCCCGAGGCCACTATTCCAACAGTCACAAAAATGACAATCTCAATGGCTGAGGTGTCTGCACAGGCCAGTTTCAGGATGGGCGGTGCATCACACAAATAGTGCTGGATCCGGTTGGGTCCACAGTAGGGCAAATGGAAAGTCAATATGGTCTGGACAGCAGAGTGCAGAGAGCCACTGAGCCAAGTGCTGGTGGCCAGGAGAGCACACGAGCGCCCACTCATCATGCGGGTGTACCTGAGCGGGTAACTGATGGCCAGGTAGCGATCATAGGACATGACCGTGTAGAGGAAACACTCGGTGCTCCCCAGGAAGTGAAAGAAATAGAGCTGAGCCACACAGCTGTGGAAGGAGATAGCCCCGCCGCTTGGGGACACCAAGGTCATCAGCATTTTGGGCACCGTGACAGTGGAGAACCACATGTCAATGAAGGACAGGTTGGAGAGGAAGGAGTACATGGGGGTGTGGAGGTGAGAATCCACCCTGATCACCAGCAGGATGAGGAGGTTCCCCAGCACAGTGAGCACATAAACCACCAGGAAGATTCCAAAGAGTGGGGCATCCAGCACTGGGGCATGGGGAAGGCCCGTGAGAATGAATGCTGTCACGAGGCTGGCATTGGACATTTCTTCTCACCCTTGGTTTCTCTCCTTCTGGAGATATAAAGAGCACGCAGCATTTAGCACTTAATTGAGAAATGAGAATCCATTCTCTATGTGGAAACTGCATCAACCAGGTAGATAATTCTGGAGTTATCGTGGACTTTGCTTGTTACAAAGCTTCCTTTATAAACCAATAAAGTGATTTCCTAGTCTCTCTCTCTGTCTCACATATGCACACACAGAGACACATGTGGAAGAAATTAGGAGAAATACATTGTCTTATATTTCAATAGGTGTATAAATTACCACAAACTTAACTGGCATAAAACATGCAAATGTATTGTCTCGCCCAGGTCAGCTGGGCCCTCTGTTTAGCTCTCATCAGGTTTTAATCAACATATCACCAAGGGCTGCAATCTCATCTGGGGCTGGGGATCATTCTCCAAGCTTCTTGTGGTTGTTGGCACAATTCAGTTCCTTACAGTTTAGGACTCAGATCCCAGTTTTCTTGCTGTTTGTTGGCAGGACATATAACTCTCAACTTACTGACATCACCCAAGGTCCAAGAAAGTCCTAGCTACTTGGCCTTCTTAAAACACCACAGGTGTCTTCTTCAAAACCAATGAGATAAACTCTCTCCAGTTTGCTATGACAAACTATTACATAATGTTATGTAATGCAGTCACAGGGGTGATATTCCATCGTATTAACAGGTCCCAGGCATACTCAAAGGAAGGTTATTAAACAGAAAGTATATACTAGAGGGCAGGAATCTTGAAGGCTACTGCAAATTCTACCTACCACATTCAGTTTTGCTTCCTTGCTCATGAGAAAACTTAAAAAAAAACAAAACAAACAAACAACAACAACAAAAAAAACACCAAGAATTTAATTGTTAGTGGCTGGGAATATTTGAAAACTGAACAGTACAGCTAAATCATTCTCTAGTTTCCTCGTATGTTATTTGACATTGCTAACATCACCTACCTCACTGAGAAGTTATAAGCATTAAATAAGATGATACATATAAAGTACTAAGTACTGTGACTGGCAGGAAATAACTGCTCAGTAAATGACAGTGAGTCTTACCATATTGTGCCTTGCAGCAGTATTACAGAATTTCCAGTTTTGATCTTAGGGAGAAAGAGAGTACATATATTCTTTTAGTGTTTTCAGAGAGTCCTTCTGAATCTAAGAGCAAGGTCTTTGTGGACGATTTTATGCCTGATACTGTTACTGATGTCCTCACTACTGCTTGCCCTTAAAGGGCTCCTCTCAGAGCAGGTAAAAATCTCAGCGCAACTCCATAATGGGATTCCCACGACCTCCCAAATGATCCAGAGAGCACCAAGCCTCATGCATGACTGCCGCCTGCCCACATTTCTGTTATCCTAGAACACTTCCTATGCGGTTCTGAGAACATGGCATTCATACATGCTCTCCCGAACACAATCTACTGGGTAGGGGCCAGCTGTCTTTCATACTTCTTCTACCCTAGGTTTCTAAATATACTCTAATATTGGCTTTGTTAGATATCATGTGTTGCCTCCACCATCTTCCTTTACTCCTCATTCTCATAAACCCAGGTGATGAATGATCTCACAAGGAAGACAGTTCCATCAAGTCTGTGCCTCTTAATTAATCTGTGCCTAGAACCTGAGACAGGAAAAATGGGACCAATGCAAGAAGAGGGGCCTATGTCACCTTGATGTCAAGAGAAGCTGGGATTCTGTGTAATGGAAATTGGGGCCAAAATAAGGTTCTTTGCTTAATAGTAATATTAACACAAAATGTTGTCTTAGTTCAGCATTCTTACTAATTGTTCAGTGGGCAGACACTATGAAACTTGTTCACCAGTGTGAGAAGAGCCGTGATCTCTGCTCTTCAGAAATCCCAGAGAAGATACCTCCAGGGAATGTGGCTTAAGCTACTTTAAACAAAGGTTTTTGAAATATGTAAATAAATAGCAGAAAGGAGATTACTGCAGTCACCAATATGGATATCAGAACTTTTAAAATAGAACCAAGATACTCTGAAATTTCTACTGCACCAGGAGGAACAATTCCCAGAATAGCTTCATGATCAGATTTGATGAAATGTGAAAATCCTCATCCAGTGAAGTCCAAGGTAGCCTGAGACCTAAAGCAAGAGTCTCAATCTGCAGGGTCAATGTTTGAGCTGCATATTAGCATATAGAAGTATACAGAGCAACTTTGTCTCTATTTGTATCCCATCAATTACTATCTTTCTATGTATCTAACTGATTTTATAACAAAGTCTTAACAGTTCTCGAGTATCTTAGGTCTGAATGGAAGTTTGAGATAAAGAAAAGAAGAAAAGCAGGAGAAAATAAGTTAAATCTACATTTCTAAGAACTCATCTTACAGTATGTGATTCATTTCAACAGTAAAACTCATCTGAGTTTTTGCCCCAATTTATCACTTTCCACGTGCTGTGTACAGGTGCTAAGTTTGCAAGATACCACTCAAAGAACAGATACAGTGTTAAGAAGGAGTGGTCTTTTTCTATTTAGGGACCAAACTAGTTGAAGTGCAGGGACTGGAAATGAATATGGGTAGAAACTTAGGTTGATTTATGCCTCAGAGGATGGGATTCCTCTTCAGCTTTTAGGTTCCCTTGATGTGTACAAAACCAACAGGAAGAGACCAATGAAAGGTTCTTCATAAGCATGCGTCCATTTCCTTAGAGTTTTTTATTTAGCCTCCTGAGACGAGCCCATGTCTTCCTGGAACCAATATTTGTACCTTAGAGGAAATAACTGACTTACCCTTTTCTCTCACCAGTGACTGAGAGACACTCACAACTGCTTGCTGTCAATTCAGAATTTTCCATAATCTATAATGGTCCTCACTTGTTGGCGCTCTCCAACTCAGCATCACTCACTCACTCACTGTCTATGGTGGTTTTAATCATCCAAATTCCCCAGCTTTTTCTGTTGTTTACAGTTTCAGGGTGGCTTTTCCCCAGAGATCTACCTATCTAACATAACTATATCCCAATTGTATAAATAATCATTAGATATTATTGCTGTCATAATTTTCATTGCTTTCACAAGCATGAGTAAACAATTTTTATATTTCATGCTTACGTCTCCTTTTGTAAATTAACTTTTTAGAATCTTTATTCATTGCTTTTTTTGTGGTAATAGTCTTTATCTTATTGACTTATCTGAAGTTTTACAAATCGAAAACATTATTTGTTTTTTATTGTAAGGTAAAATGTACTTTGAAGTTTATCATCACTTAAATACTTTTTAAGTTTGGATAGATATTTTTACTGTTCTAGGAAATTTTATAAATTGATTCTAGTATGTTTTCTGATATTGGTATTTTGCTTTAAAGGAATGTTCTTGGTCAAGTGCGGTGGCTCATGCCTGTAATCCCAGTACATTTGGAGCCAAGGCAGGTGGATCGCTTAAGCCCAGGAGTTGGAGACCAGCATGGGCAACATGGTGAAACCCTGTCTCTACAAAAACTACATGAATTAACCAAGTATGGTGGTGGGTGCCTGTAGTCCCAGCTACTCAGGAGTCTGAGGTGGGAGGATCACTTGAGCCTGGGAGGCCAAGGTTGCAGTGAGTTGAGGTGACACCACAGCACTCCAGCCTGCACAACAGAGTCAGACCCTGTCAAAATAAAAAATAAAAATAAAAAAATGGAGACCATTTTCTTATACACAAGTTTATCAGTATTCACTTATGTAATATTTAATGTTTTAAGTTTTTTCCTTCATTTAAATCTTTACTTCATCTAAAATTAATTTTACTTTATATGTGACATAAGGATGTTTTTATTTTCTATATAATTTGGGATTATAGCTGTAATTACGTCATTAACTGAAAATTTTTTTTAAGGAATTTGGTTTAAGTTCCCAATTATTTTTGTATTCTCTTTTACACTCTATATATTAACCTCTAGTTTTATTACATTATCATCAAAGAAAATGAGTGGCAAAATTTCTATTTCAAAATGTAATAACTTTAGTCTCATGTATTATTTTTGTGATTAGCTTCCTCTGTTTGTTTCTTTTCTTTAAGAATATGTTTTTAATTACTTTTTTTCCAAGAGGGTTTTGCACTCCTATAAAATCTCTTACATAAATAAGTGTCAGACAGTCCACTACATTCATATCGCCTATCTACTATAATTGAGTCTTTTATGTGTCTAGTATGACACAGGGTCAAGACTAATTTTTTTATTCTGAATACTCAGATACCTGAACATAATTTATTGAAGAAGGCAATCTTGCTTTATTGCTCGGCAGTGTTATCTTCATCATACGAATATGTATCAGTCTATTTCTGTATGCTGTGTTCAGTTACAATTTTCTATTTATCCAACCCCGTACAAATACGACACTCCTGAGTTACCGTAGCTTTGTCACAAGTTTTGATAACTAGTGTTGTCAATCTTTCAGTTAAGTTTTATGTCTTCAAGATAATATTGACCATTTTGGGACTTATTCAATCCACACTTTAGGATCCACACGTCCATTGCTGTAAAATCAAATGCTGGGATTTTACTTGGAATACTTCAAGATAATATTGACCATTTTGGGACTTATTCAATCCACACTTTAGGATCCACACGTCCATTGCTGTAAAATCAAATGCTGGGATTTTACTTGGAATAGTATTGAATGTATAGATCTATTTGAATAGAATTGGAATTTTAAAAATATGAGCCTCTGTGTGCCCGTTGTAATCTTAAATTTGTTCAGGAAATGTTATATTTATCTGAAAATATTTTATTTCTATTGTCGTGGTCTTACACATGTTACTTAAAATTAAATTCAGCTCTGGGTTTCCCATCCTTAGCACTATCAACATTTTGGCCATGATAAGCTTTGTTGTGAGGGTCTCTCCTGTGCACTGTGGAATGTTTAATACCCCTGACCTCTAGTCACTAGATGCCAGCGCCTGTGACAAGCAAGAATATTTCCAGACATTACCAAATGAACTGGGGGACAAAACAGCCCCAAGTGATCTAGATATTTAAGAGATTTAATGTTTTATATTGAATCTTAACAAACATAAAAAAATGGGTGTTTGTGATAAGTGCATAAACTATTGTATATGTAGCTGTAGATCGTACATTATCATTGCTGGATGATAATCTATTCTGTGAACACACAATTTCTATTTGATTCACTGATAATATTTAAATATTAATAGCTTGCTATTTTTGCCCATTAAAAATAGTGTTTCTAGAAATGTTTTCAGATACATATATGTAAATAGACAGATACATATGCATACATAAATATGTGAAAACCTGTATGTTCAATAGGCTAAATGTTACATACTTTCTTTTGTATACATGTTTAGATTTGTATATACAAATACATTAAAACCAAAAAGAAATTTGAACAGCTACAACCACAATTAGAAAAATGACCTCAAATATTTGTTGCTATTTTTGAACAATGTCTCCATAATGGTAAATTGTTAAGTTTGTGTGCACAAGAAATCAAACAAAACACAAAAGCTTTTTATCAAGTTGTAAACATGAATGACTCGACCATCTATCTTGGAGATTCTATTAAAATATTTTTTTAAATTAATATGAACCTATTGATGAGAAATGAATCAATAAATCAGAATATAAGCATATTCCTCATAAATACAAGTCTAGCTGTGATGTTAAAACTCTCTTAGAAAATTTGTGGAAGAATTATAACTGTGCAGGTGTTTTGGAATAATGTTTAACACAGAACTATACATATAATCAATTTCACAGGAATAACTAAATTATATTACTATTTTAAAACAAACTAGTGTATCTACTTCCTAGTATTTATTCTTCCTGAGAATATGCTACTTTGTCTCTCAGTTTCAACACAGCTTTCTTCACTTCCTTGTTTCTCAGGGTGTACACAATAGGGTTGAGAAGGGGCGTCAGCACAGTGTAGAAAACGGCCACAACTCCATCCACAACATCCCTGGAACCTGGTCTCAGGTAAATGACAACACAGGGAACAAAAAAGCAAAGGACCACGATACAGTGGGAGGCACAGGTCTGAAAGGCTCTGAGTCTCCCCTCTGAGGTGTGGATCCGCAGGATGGAACAGACGATGGACACATAGGACAGCACTATCAGGAGAAAGCAGCCCGAGGCCACTATCCCAATGTCCACAAAGATGACCATCTCATTGGCTGAGGTGTCTGCACAGGCCAGTTTCAGGATGGGCGGTGCGTCACAGAAGTAGTGCTGGATCCGGTTGGGTCCACAGTAGGGCAAATGGAAAGTCAATATGGTCTGGACAGCAGAGTGCAGAGAGCCACTGAGCCAAGTGCCGATGGCCAGGAGAGCACACGTGCGCCCACTCATCATGCGGGTGTACCTGAGCGGGTAACTGATGGCCAGGTAGCGATCATAGGACATGACCGTGTAGAGGAAACACTCGGTGCTCCCCAGGAAGTGGAAAAAGTAGAGTTGAGTCAGGCAACTGTGGAAGGAGATAGCCCCGCCGCTTGGGGACACCAAGGTCATCAACATTTTGGGCACCGTGACAGTGGAGAACCACATGTCAATGAAGGACAGGTTGGTGAGGAAGGAGTACATGGGGGTGTGGAGGTGAGAATCCACCCTGATCACCAGCAGGATGAGGAGGTTCCCCAGCACAGTGAGCACATAAATGACCAGGAAGATTCCAAAGAATGGGGCGTCCAGTGCTGGGGCATGGGGAAGGCCTGTGAGGATGAATGCTGTCACGAGGCTGGTGTTAGACATTTCTCCTCACCGTTGGTCTCTCACCCTTTGGGGATATAAAGAGCACCCAGCATTTACCAATTAATTGATAACTGAGAATCCATTCTCTATGTGAACACCAGGTAGATAATTTGGAGTTTTCCTGGACTTTGCTTTTTACAAAGCTTCCTTCATAAAGCTAATGAAGTGATTTCCTAGTTTCTCTCTCTCTCTCTCTCTCTCTCTCTCTCTGTGTGTGTGTGTGTGTGTGTGTGTATGTGTGTGTCACATGTCACACACATGTCACACACACATACACACACAGAGAGAGAGACACGTGCAGAATAAATTAGAAGAAACACATTGTCTAGATTTTAATGGGTGTATAAATTACCACAAACTTACTGGCATAAAACACGCAAATTTATTGTCTCACCTTCTCTGTGGGTCAGGGTCAGGTCAGCTGGGTTCCCTGTTCAGGGTCTCACCAGGTTTTAATCAACGTATCACCAGGGGCTGCAATCTCATCTGAGTCTGGGGATCATCTTCCAACCTTAAGGGGGTTGTGTGCATGATTTAATTCCTTGTAGTTTTAGGACTGAGGTCCCAGTTTTCTTGCTGTTTGTTGGCAGGACATATCACTGTCAGCTTATAGTGGTCACCCTAGGTCCTAGAAAGTCCTAGCTACTTGGTCTTCTTAGAACACGACAGGTTACTTCTTTGAAACCAACAAGATAAACTCTCTCCAGTTTGCTATAACAAAATGTTATATAATGTTATGTAATGCAGTCAAAGGGGTGATATCTCATCTTATTAACAGGTCCCAGGCATACTTAAAAAAGGTTATTAAATAGAAAGTGTATACCAGTGGGCAAGAATCTTGAAGGCTGCTTGGAATTCTACCCACCACATTCTATTTTTGCTGCTTGCTCATGGGAAAACTTAAAAAAAAAAACAAAACACGAAGAATTTAATCATTAGTAGCAAGGAATATTTGAAAACTGAACAGTACAAGTAAATCATTTTCTAGTTTCCTCTTATGTTATTTGGCATTACTAACATCACCTGCCTCACTGAGAAATTATAAGCATTAAATAAGATGATACATTTAAAGCACGAAGTACTGTGACTGGCAGGTAATAACTGCTCAATAAATGAGTGAGTCTTACCACATTGTGCCTTGCGGCAGTATTACAGAATTGCTGTTTTTGATCTTAGAGAGAAAAAGAGTACATATATTCTTTTAGTGTTTTCAGAGCATCCTTCTGAATCTAAGAGCTAGGTCTTTTTGTACTATCGTATGCCTGATACTGTTACTGATGTCCTCACTGCTGCCTGCTTTTAAAGGGCTTCTCCTAGGTCTCTCAGAGCAGGTAAGAATCTCAGCATAACTCTGTAGTGGGATTCCCACAACCTCCCACCTCCCAAATGATCCAGAGAGCACCAAGTTTCATACATGACTTTCCCCACCCCCATTTCTGTTACCCTAGAACACTTCCTATGTGATTCTGAGAACATGGCATTCATATGTGCTCTCCCAAACACAACCTACTGGGTAGGTGCCAGCTGTCTTGCGTACTCCTCCTACCCTAGGTTTCTAAATATATTCTAACATTAACTTTGTTAGATAGCACATGTTGGCGCCCCACCATCTTCCTCTACTCTTCATTCTCATAAATCCAGGTAATGAATGACCTCACAAAAGAAGACCATTCCGTCAAGTCTGTGTCTCTTAATTAAGACCTAGAACATGAAACAGGAAAAAATGGGACCAATGCAAGAAGAGGGGCCTATGTCACCTTCATGTCAAGAGAAGCTGGGATTCTGTATGATGGAAATTGAGGCAGAAGTAAGATTTTTTACTTCATACAAAATGTTGTATTAGTTCAGGATTCTTACTGATTGTTCAGTAGGAGAACACTATGAAACTTGTTCATCAGTATGAGAGAAACTATAGTCTCTGCTCTTCTCAAAGCCCAGAGGAAATACCTCCAGGGAATGTGGCTTAAGCTACATTATAATAAGGTTTGTCAAATATGTAAATAAATAGCAGAAAGGAGGCTCCTGTAATCACCAGCATGCATATCAGAACTTTTAAAATGGAACCAGCATTACTTTGAAATTTCTACTGTACCAAGAGGACCAATCCACAGCGGAGCTTCATGATCGGTTTTGATGGAATGTGAAAATGCTCATCCAGTGAAGTCTAACGTAGCCTGAGATCTAAAGCAAGAGTTTCAATCCACAGGGTCAATGTTTGACTTGAATATTGGTGTATAGTAGTATATGTAGTGACTTTGTCTCTATCCATCTGTCTATCTAACTATCTAACTGATTTTATAACAAAGTCTTAACAATTCTCTAATTGTCTGAATGGAAGTTTGAGATAAAAGAGGGAAAGCGAGAAAACAAGTTAAATCTGCATTTCTAAGAACTCACCTTATAGTATGTGATTCATTTCAATAGTAAAACTCATCTGAGTTTTTGCCCCAGTTTGTCACTTTCCACACGCTGCGTACAGGTGCCAAGTTTGCAAGATACCACTCAAAGAACAGATACATGGTGTTAAGAAAGAGTGGTCCCTTTCTATTCAAGGACCAAACTAGTGGAAGTGCAGGGAATGCAAATGAACGTGGGTAGGAACTTAACTTGATTTATGTCTCAGAAGATGGAATTGCTCTTGGGATTTTGAGTTCCCTTGATGAGCACAAAACAACAGGAAGAGACCAATGACAAGTTCTTCATAAGCATGCATGCATTTCCTTAGTGTTTCTTATCTGAACCCTCCTGAGAAGAGCCCAGCGTCTTTCTGGAACCCATATTTATACATATGAAGAAAGAAGGAGGACTGACTTATTCTTTTCCCTCACCAGTAATTGAGAGACACTCCCAACTGCTCACTCTCAACTCAAAATTTTCCATGATCCATAACGATCCTGGAAAATTTGTTGGTGCTCTCCAGTTCAGCCTCACTGTCTCATTCATCATCTTTGCATGGTGGTTCAAAAGATCCAAATTCCCGAACTTTTTCTGTTGTTTACAGTTCCAGGGTGACTTTTCCCCAGAGATCTACCTACCTAACATAATTATATCCCAATTGTGTAGTAATCATGAGATATTATAGCTGTCATAATTTTCATTGCTTTTAAAAGCCTGAATAAACACTTTTGATATTTCATGTGCACATCTCCTTTTGAAGATTAACTTTTTAGAATCTTTATTCGTTGCTTTTTTTGTGGTAATAGTTTTTATCTTATTGATTTATCTGAAGTTTTACAAATTGAAAACATTAATTTGTGTTTCACTGTAAGGTAAAATGTACTTTCAAATTTATCACCATTTAAATATTTTTAAATTTGTATAGATATGTTTACTGTTCTAGGAAATTTTATAAATTGATTTACTATGTTTTCTTATGTCAGCATTTTAGTAGGATTTTATTGGCCAATCTTGGTGGCTCACACCTATAATCCCAGCACTTTGGGAGGCCAAGGCAGGCAGATCACTTGAGCCCAGGAGTTGGAGACCAACTTGGGCTCCAACATGGTGAAACCCTGTCTCTACAAAAAATACAAAAATTAGCTAGCCATGGTGGTGAGTGACTGTAGACCCAGCTACTCAGGAGGCTGAGGTGGGAGGATCACTTGAGCCTAAGAGACCAAGGTTACAGTGAGCCGAGATGGTGCTACAGCACTCCAGCCTGAGCAACAGAGCCAGACCCTATCTCAAAAACAAACAAGCAAACAAACAAAAAACAAAACCATCGTCTTGCACACAGGTGTATCAGTTTTCACTTATGTAATATTTAGTGCTTTAAGGTTTTTTTCCTTCATTTAAATCTTTACTTCATCTGAAATTAATTTTACTTTATGGGTGATATAAGGATGTTTTTATTTTCTATATAATTTGAGATTGTAGTTGTAATTACCTCATTAACTGAAGTGGGTTTCTTCTTAAAAAATTAGGTTTACGTTCCCAATTATGTTTGTATTCTCTGTTATACTTTGCTTATTAACCTCTAGTTTTATTATATTATCAACACAGAAAATGAGTGGCAAAATTTCTATTTTAAAATGTAATGACTTTAGTCTCATGTATTATTTTTATGGTTGGCTTCCTCTGTTTGTTTATTTTATTTAATTTTTTTTTGCAAAAAATGCACGTCATCACTGGTCATTAGAGAAATGCAAATCAAAACCACAATGAGATATCATCTCATGCCAGCTAGAATGGCAATCATTAAAAAGTCAGGAAACAACAGATGCTGGAGAGGATATGGAGAAATAGGAATGCTTTTACAGTTGGTGGGAGTGTAAATTAGTTCAACCATTGTGGAAGACAGTGTGGTGATTCCTCAAGGATCTAGAACTAGAAACACCATTTGACCCAGCAATCCCATTACTGGGTATATACCCAAAGGGTTATAAATCCTGCTACTATAAAGACACATGCACACATATGTTTACTGCAGCATTGTTCACAATAGTAAAGACTTGGAACCAACCCAAATTTCCATCAATGATAGACTGGATAAAGAAAATGTGGCACATATACATCATGGAATACTATGCAGCCATAAAAAAGGATGAGTTGATGTTCTTTGTAGGGACATGGATGAAACTGGAAACTATCATCCTCAGCAAAGTAACACAAGAAGAGAAAACCAAACACCGCATGTTCTCACTCATAAGTGGGAGTTGAACAATGAGAACATATGGACACAGGGAGGGGAACATCACACACCGGGGCCTTTGCGGGGTGGAGGGCTAGGGGAGGGATGGCATTAGGAGAAATACCTAATGTAACCAACAAGTTGATGGGTGCAGCAAACCAACATGGCACATGTATACCTATGTAACAAACCTGCACGTTGTGCACATGTACACCAGAACTTAAAATACAACAATAAAAAATAAATTTAAAATATATTTTTAAATTAATTTTTTTTCCAAGAAGGTTTTACATTACTAAAAAGTCTCTTACCTAAACAAATGTCATACAGTTCACCACATTTATATCTCCTATCTACTATAATTGAGTTTTTTATGTGTATAGTATGAAATAGGATCTTAACAAACATAAAAAATGCATGCAAATATATAAAGTGCATAAACCATTACATATGTAGTGGTAGATCATTCATTATCATTGCTGGATAGTAATCGATTCTGTGAATAACAATTTCTGGCCAGAACTTCCAAAAATTATTCCAAAAAAATAATTTTTTTATTCTGAATACCCAGATACCCCAAAATAATTTATTGAAGAAAGCAATCATGCTTTACTGCTTTGCAGTGTCATCTTTGTCATACGTATATGCATCAGTCTATTTCTTTACCCTGTATTCATTTCCATTTTTCTATTTGTCTAACCTCATACAAAAACAACACTCTCTGAGTTACTACAGCTTTGCCACAAGTTCTGATATCTAGTGTTGTCAATCTTTCAGTTATCCTTTATTTCTTCAAGAGAGTCTTGACGATTTTGGGCCTCATTCCATTTCAGTCCACACTTTAAAATCCATGTGTCCATAGCTGCAAAATCAAACGCTGGGATTTTACTTGGAATAGTATCAAATCTATAGATCAATTTGAAAAAACTGGCATTTTAAAAATATGAACCTCCACGTGCACTTTATAATCCTAGATTCATTCAGCAAATTTTATGTTTATCTGAAAATATTTTATTTCTATTGTCGTGGTCTTAGACATGTTACATAAAATTAAATTCAGCTTCGGTTTCTCATCCTCAGCACTATCGATATTTTGGCCATGATAAGCTTTGTTGTGAGGGTCTCTCCAGTGCATTGTGGAATGTTTAACTCCCCTGACCTATAGCCACTAGATGCCAGTGCCTGTGACAAGCAAGAATGTTTCTAGACATTGCCAAGTGAACTGGGAGACAAAACAGCCCCAAGTAATCTAGATATTTAAGATATTTAATTTTTTATATTGGATCTTAACAAACATAAAAAATGGGTGCAAATATATAAAGTGCATAAACCATTACATATGTAGTGGTAGATCATTCATTATCATTGCTGGATAGTAATCTATTCTGTGAATAACAGTTTCTGACCAGAACTTCCAACACTATGTTGAATAGGAGTGGTGAGAGAGGGCATCCCTGTCTTGTGCCAGTTTTCAAAGGGAATGCTTCCAGTTTTTGCCCATTCAGTATGATATTGGCTGTGGGTTTGCCATAAATAGCTCTTATTATTTTGAGATATGTTCCATCAATGCTGAATTTATTGAGAGTTTTTAGCATGAAGGGCTGTTGAATTTTGTCAAAGGCCTTTTCTGCATCTATTGAGATAATCATGTGGTTTTTGTCTCTGGTTCTGTTTATATGCTGGATTACATTTATTGATTTGCATATATTGAACCAGCATTGCATCCCAGGGATGAAGCCCACTTGATCATGGTGGATAAGATTTTTGATGTGCTGCTGGATTCGGTTTGCCAGTATTTTATTGAGGATTTTTGCATTGATATTCATCAAGTATATTGGTCTAAAATTCTCTTTTTTTGTTGTGTCTCTGCCAGGCTTTGGTATCAGGATGATGTTGGCTTCATAAAATGAGTTACGGAGGATTCCCTCCTTTTCTGTTGATTGGAATAATTTCAGAAGGAATGGTACCAACTCCTCCTTGTACCTCTGGTAGAATTCGGCTGTAAATCCGTCTGGTCCTGGACTTTTTTTGGTTGGTAGGCTATTAATTATTGCCTCAATTTCAGAGCCTTTTATTGGTCTATTCAGGGATTCAACTTCTTCCTGGTTTAGTCTTGGGAGAGTGTATATGTCCAGAAATTTATCCATTTCTTCTAGGTTTTCTGGTTTATTTGTGTAGAGGTGTTTATAGTATTCTCTGATGGTAGTTTGTATTTCTGTGGGGTCGGTGGTGATATTCCCTTTATCATTTTTTATTGTGACATACCCCCTGTTCTAAAGCTCGCCTGTACAGGCAGCACCATTAATGAGCTAGTCATGCTTGCCAACATTGGCATCGTGGCTGCAGGCTGCCTGATCCTCATCATTATTTCCTACGTCTTCATCGCGGCAGCTGTGTTGCCCATCTGCACAGCCCAGGGTGGGCAGCGGGCCTTCTCCACCTGCACTGCCCACCTCACTGTGGTGCTCCTGTACTACGTGCCACCTGTCTGTATCTACCTGCAGCCTCACTCCAGTGAGACAGGAGCTGGGGCCCCCGTGATCTTCTACACAATCAAAACTCCAATGCTCAACCCATTCATTTACACTTTGCGGAACAAAGAGGTGAAGCATGCTCTGCATAGGCTTTTGTGCAGCAACTTCTGAGAGTCTACAGCAGGTAGCCCACCCCCATAGTCTGTGCTATCAAAACTCACAATTTTCCTGCCAGGAAAGCAGCTATTCACATCTCAAAATGAGCAGGGAAAATCATTCAGGTGGAAATCAGAATAACGGAGTTGCAACTCAGCCACACACTTGCCCCTGGCTTTGGCCAAATGGTCTACCTCACTCTCCCCATCACAAACACTTCATCTAGAAAATGGGAAGACTGGTTTAGATGATGTCTAGAGTCTCTCCAAAATCTAAGTTCTATGACTCAGAGGTATGTGAAATGCTATTCATATCCTCATTTGTATTAATAAATGATTGTTTTATTTTTTATGAAATAACTTTATTAAATGCATAAAACATATTAAAGAATACGGTAAACAAAAGTATAAAATACAATGAAATGAACCTTTGTATATGTATTTCCCAGCAAGAAGAAACCACATTTTTTAAAACGATAAAATACAAGGAGAAAAGTGACTTGTCCAAGGTGACTTAGAAAGTGACATGATCTTTATTCTCCCACTCAAGGTAGTATATAATTAAGGCCACACTGAGAGATAGAAATAACATGGGCTTTGGTGTCAATTGAACCTACCAGTATTCTAATCCGGATCCAACCAGTCCTAGTTGTAGAATTTTGCACAAATGTCATAATTGGAGTTTTAGTCTCCACTTTTAAGAGTAAGATTTAAAATAATTGCTTTGTAAGAATGAGGTCTAAATAAAATAATTATATTAAGTGTCAGGTAAAATAGGTGCTCCAGTTTCTTACTAAGCTGGCTGAAGAAATCAAAGAGAGCTTATCATACAAGCTAAGATTCAAATTGTTTCTGAAGGATTAGCAAGGTTTTAATACCTTAATTGAATTTATAGGGCAACTATGAAAGAAAGGGCATTTCTAGACTCCAAAATTATAAAAGATAACTCAAGGTTTTAGTTATAGCAACTTACCATACAAGAGGAAGGAGTTGGTTATAGTCACCAAAACTCTTCTATAAAATGAAAATGTCCTTGAATGCCAATCTAAAGAACTCAGATTATGCCCTAGGTGTCCTACCTGTTTATTTTTCCTTCTCCTTGTCATCTATAGAAATACCTTTATCCTGAGAAGCCACTTCTTTAAATGCTAAACCATGAGATAAATTAGAAAAGAGATGTTCCCCTTCCTGTGTCCTTGTTTAAGAAAATTGTCACAA